CGAAAGGGCGACCTAGGCAAAATTAGAGCACAAAAAATTAGAAAATATAAAAACTGAGCTCGCAAGGTTAAAACCCGCAAAGGGCGACCTTGGCAAAAGTTAGAGCGTAAAAGGAGAGTGAAAATACCCGAGTGAACCTAAGCCTGAACTACGTAAGGCTTGATTCCCATCTTTGGGATACGTAGGTAGCTTCACCCTGAAGTTCAGCCATAAACTTTTCCCCGATCAACTTTGTCCATTTTGACCATCTCAGTCATCTTTATCCATCAGCATTTATCGCAATCTCCGGTGCAGTGCTATTCAGACTAGGGGCAATTTTTCGTTGCCACACGTTGTCGCGGTACTATTCAGACTAGGGGCAACTTTCCAGTTGCTAGGATCCGGGATTGTGTATCTCAGTGACAGATCTTAGGCGTGTCCAGTTCTGATCCATATCGAAAATGGTTTTGAAAATTTTTAATAAAAGTTGACTTTGTTCTAATTAATCTCTTTACAACTAAGACCAGTTTTGGACCAAAGCGAAAATTTTCAGTACCACAACCTTCAATTTCATTGATTTCAAAACAGAGTTCTCTTGCTCTTGCATACAATCGAAGTTGCTTTTTATTACATTCATAAGGAAAACTTGAAAGTACTAGTAAAGCAATAAATCCGGGGCAAAGTCAAGTCAAGTGTCCCTGTGCCCCCTCCCAGAGTTGGTCGAAGCCTCTGATGCCAAGCTAGGCCCAATCTGTGCCTCCTCATTGAGCCAATCCAAGCACTCGTCAGACAAAGTGCAACTGAAAGTGGGAGTAGGGGCCAGGAGCGCTCTAGTCCTCCATGCTGTGGCATATCGGGCAAGCTGTGCACCTCGAACCGGGAAAGCAGCCGGGTACTCAATCCCCTCTGGCGGGCAAATCTGATCATGACCGAATTGGCGCAAGAACTGGAACGGAAAGTAGAACACACAGTGGGTCAGACCAATAAACTAGATCCCGATCAGCCGGGACTTGCTATAGCTCATTGCCGGGAGATTGAGCCAAGGACAACGCCAAACAATGCGATCTATAGACAAATTGCACATCCAGTCAAACCACCACCCTTCATCAGGGGCGTCGACTAGGCGCTGTCGAAAGAAATAGCCTCGAGCTGAATAGGCTGGGCAAGAATCCACAACCTGCAATTTGTCCATCAACCATACCTGGGGAGGGATGAAAAATGAGAGAATAAAGAATAGAGAGATGTATGATGAGAGAAAAGTAAGACAAGGGTTTTGTGAGAAAAATCGAGCCTGAGGGCCGAGTGATGTGAGCAAATACATATGTAAGATTGGGTGGGAAACATTACCTGCAGCAGCAGTGGACTCCCAGCAAATCTAGTCGTTTCCCGGCGATGGAAAGCATCCAAGCCCATCAGCGTCTCGGCCAAGGTCATGGCAATGCAACTCTTTCCGTCTTTCAAACCTTGAGCAACTTCAATCAGACGGATGCTAGATCCGCCAAAGCCCGGGGAAAGCAGAAAGTGAGACAGCAGGCACAAGCAAAGAGCGTGTTGTCGGAGACCTTGCCAACAATGGTTGCTGCGGTCACCAGCGTCAGAAAAGCGATAAATCAGACCGAGGATATCCAGTTCCCCATTACAGATCAGAGATCGAGCATCATGCGCGGTGAGCCCACACATCCGCCCCAAAGCTTGGGCGTGGCCGAAGTGGAACTGGGGCAAGATCTCTTCATGACCTTCAGATTCCATCAAAACTTGAAAATCTTCAAAAGTCGAACATACCTCTTGCCCACCAAAGCTAAAGACATACGTCATCGGGTTCCAAAACCTCGCCGCGGCATGGAGGAAAGGAAGGTGCAGCGGAGTACGACTCAGCGTGAACAGTGCATTCAAGCCAAAACCCCGGAAGTTCAGCTTTTCCGAACCATCTAGAGAAGTGATCCAAGCTCTGAGATTTTCAACAAAAAACGCCTCCATTCTTGGTGCAAAACTAAGGTGAATTGAATGAACCACGAAGGTAAGGCTTTTAAAGAGGGAAAGACACTATTCGGGGGACAAGTGTCAAAAATTTGACGGTTGCTAGACTAAGTGGCCGGCCGGCCACCTTTTCTGGCAGGCCGACCATTTTCTTTTTCAAAAATTGGCCAGTGGCCCCCCCTTGCAATAAACATGGCCGGCCGGCTCCAAAAAGTAGCTGGCCATGCTCCAATGTGTCTCTTTAGTCCTGTTTTACCCTCCAAGAGAAAGTTACAAGCATTTCCATGCAACGGGAGTGTCGAAGGCCTCCATTTCCCTCTGTTTTGGATGTGTTCCGTTGCCCGGATCGTCCAGAGTGTACTTTGTGTTGTTAAGTTTGTTTATCGAGTTGTTATTTTGTTTATCGAGTTGTTGTTTTGTTTATCGAGTTGTCGTTTTGCTTATCGAGTTGTTTGTCGAGCTGTCGTGTTTCGTGTTTTTGAGTTGTTACTCTCTGTTTAAGTAATTTTGTTTGAGTCTTGAGTTGTCAATACTATTGTGTTTTGCTTATCGAGTTGTAAACTTGCTAAGGTTTTGTTATATCTTAGAAAGTTAAGTTGTTGCGTCGGTTCACTACCTGACTGGGCAAAATGCACAATGCACATTTCCATTCAATCTCATTTTGGTGCAAAATGATGCGATGATGCTAAAAGTTTAAAATACAACACTTTTTTTTAAAAGCTGTTTCATTCCATCATGCCTCGTTCGTTACAACATTTCACAGACTAAGGCACAAGTTTTACAAAAATAAAACTGTCCGATAATGTACAAATGTGCTACAACTACTAGCAAAAAGATAAATAAAACAGGAAACAGCTGCATCTGTGCTCTCAGGAGCAGGAATAAGAGGCCCTCCTCGTCCTCTTCTGTGGAATAGACTCTCCGCCACCATCGCCATCGTCATCATCTGAATCAGAGTCGTCACCCTCGGGATCCCCCTCAGCCTTGCCTCCACTCCTGGAACCGAGACCAGAGCCGTCCTCTCTGTCGGCTGATGTCTCTGACTGACGATCTGCAGCCTCCTCCTCCTCATCCTCATCGGGCTCCTCCTCTATAATGTGTGCCCTGCGCCTACGAGACGGTCCCCCTTCAGCTTCTCGAAAAGGCCTGGATGGCCCAGCTCCTCGAAAAGGCCTGGATGGCCCAGCTCCCCGAGAAGGCCCAGGTGGCCTGGCCTGCGGCTGAGCGTATACTGGAGCCATCTGAAAATAAAAAGCTCAATTCAAATACATCAGTCCAAATGTGTACATCAGATGCAGATGCGAGAAAACTACATGAAGTGGGTACATATAAACACAGTGTATAGATGAGGTGTGTGTCAGATGTGCTCTACACAAGTAGCCTATCAATGCAGCGAAAATCAGCATATCATCAGAAGTATGATAAATACTAGAAAACTAAAGGGTACCTGGAAGCCCATGACGGACAGCTGCGCCTCTCTCCGCAAGACCATGCCCTTAAGTGAGGCCACCAATCCGATCACCCACTCCATGTACTCTTTGGGTGGCTGCAGATATGAGCTCATAATCATCAGTGAATAAAGGAATGTCTAAGTGTTTGAATGATAGATGAAAAACAGTGGGGCATACCGGCGGTGAGTCGGGGTCAATGACGTATCGATGGTCAGGCATGGGAGGCTCCATCGGAATCGTGTAGGAGGCCCCGTACCGCCATCCTGTCAACTTGATCGGCATGTCTGGCCATCCAGGATGAGGATAAGTCGAAGGAATCGGGGGAACCAATCCACCCCCACCTCTAGATATACCAGCCCTGCTGGTAGAAGGGGCGTCTGCGGCCCGAGCCCGGGCCTGGCTCGAAGATGGCATGCCAGCAGGCCTCATCGTTGGAGTACGAGCTCCCGTCAATGGAGGCATCAGGTATATGTGGCGGTAAATAGCGTAATCCCCCTCCTCCAGGTGTATCAAGGAGTCAGTACCCAACATAGCATTAACAACATCTTGGGAAATGAGCATATCAGCAATCCGCATGTCAACTGGGGGTGCTGAAGGAGGGTCCTGAGAGGTGTACCCCCAGACCTGACGCAAGAAGCGCTCTCCCAAAATCCAGGCCTTGCCAACTAGCCCTTCGAACAGGATCCTGTACCGGGAGGCACCCCACCCTCCGGCAAACTGGAATCGGAGGCCCTCACCTAAAGGCGCCCATGGCTGCCATGTAATCTGCGGATAACAAACACATAAATCAAGCAGAAATCAATAATGTACTAGACAAATCAAAGGTGAAAACAGAAAGAACTGAGAATTCTGAAATACTTCCGACGACTGCACCACGTCGAAATACTGCCGTAGATAAAGGAGAGACTCCCGAGGTCTTGGCCGGTGCTGGCCTTCAAATACCAGTGAGTATGGGGTCACGAGAGGCTCCGCTACCACCATCTCCGGGGCCAATGTCGGGAAGTACACATAGACCCATAACTGTGGAAAACAGAGCAAGATACGAAGTGCTGAGGGCAAAGTGCACGATACAGAGTATAAAGTGCGCCGTGTGTGCAATGTGCAAGTAATGAGGAGCAGAAATGTAAATCAAGAGGGCAGAAAGTACCTCCCAGGCTCTCCAATAGCCGCCGAGTAAGTCCCCCCGCCCGCGGTAAGTCGCGCTCATATAGCAATAAAGGGTAGCCAGGCCGGCACCACCCCAGTCGTATCGTCTGACCTGTGATAGGTCCGCCAAAGCACTCAGCAGATAGAGCCCTACAGTGTTCCCCCTGTCGGCAAACAAAGTGGTCTCGAAGAAGAACATCAGGAAGCCGCGGGCATACTGTGCCGCCTCATCAGGAGTCCCGGGCTCCATCTCCGCCCGCCGGAAATGGGAAGAGAACCAGGTGTATCGGACTTTCCCTGAAGCTCTATCAACAGGCGGGCGAGCCCCCAGCAAATATATCTAGGAAGCCTCCCACTGACCCATGTCCTCATCGTAAAGGATAGGCCAACCTCCCATGTCCAGGCCAGTCAGTACGGCGAAGTCAAAGGGGGTCATAGTCAAGTCCCCCGTAGCGAAAAAATGGAAGGAGTTGGTGGTGTCCCACCATCTCTCCATTAAGGCAGCCATCAGCGTCCTCCTGGCAGGGCAACGGGATAACCCAGTACAGAACGGCCCAAACCCCGTCAAGTCAACCAAATCCCGAACAGCCTCCGGGAGCTCGGCATACCAGTCTCTCGCCGCAGTAGAGCCATACCCCCGCACATTGCGGGAAGTCACCTGCATTCAGAATGAATAGGTGTTTCAGAATTAAGAATAAGCTACGTGTAAATGAAATGAATGAGCTGCGTGTTCACAAGTGAAATGTGTGAGCTGTGTGTTCAAAGTGTGATGTATAAGCTGCGTGCAAATGAAATGAATAAGCTGCGCGCAAAGTAAAGTAAGTGGGCTACGTGCTCTGAAAATCAATTTGGGCTGTGTGCTCAGAAAATCAGTGTTTGGACTGCGTGTTCAACTCTCAATCAGTGTGGGCTGCGTGTTAACCTTGAATTTGGGCTATGTGCTTTGAAAATCAGTGTTTGGGCTGCGTGTTCAACTCTCAATCAGTGTGGGCTACGTGTTCACCTTCAATTTGGGCTGTGTGCTCAGAAAACTAGTGTTTGGGCTGCGTGTTCAACTCTCAATCAGTATGGGCTGCGTGTTCACAATCAATTTGGGCTGTGTGTTCAGAATTAGTGTTTGGGCTGCATGTCCAACTCTCAGTCAGTGTGTGTTGCGTGTTCACCTTCAATTTGGACTGTGTGTTCAGAAAATCAGTGTTTGAGCTGCGTGTTCAACCCTCAACCGGTGTGTGCTGTGTGTTCACAATCAATTTATAGGCTGAGTGTTCAGAAATTCAAGTGATTGAACCGTGTGTTCGGAGTCCAAACAGAATACAAGAAAAATTCATAATACGTTACAGAAAAGATAAAAACGAAGTAAATACCTCTCGTGGCTCATGGGAGAGATGATACTCAGGCTCTCGCTGGAGGAGATCCCCGGGTGCTCGCTCGTCGAACTCGGTGAAATGATGAAAAACAGCCCGCGGGAGAGCGTGTACTGGTGGATCATACCTCTCGGGTATGAAGGGGCGAACCCTCGGAGGCAGAGACATGATGTCAGGCTCGACTCCGGCGCCTGGAGAACCTCCACCGTGGGGAAATTGACCCGCCATTTCCAAGAAAATCTGCAAAAGGGGCAAAAATGAGCAAAAATGAGCCAAAATTGGAAAAAGTCATCAAAAGTCAACTCTCGGGAAATGAAAAAGTCAACAAAAGTCAACTCCCGAGAAAATCTTCCAAATATTGATATAAACTCACCTCAAGTGGCGAAAATGAGAAAAGAAGCCCCGAAACCAAAATTTAATCGGTTCAAAGTGCTTGAAACTGAAAGATTTCGCGATAACAACTTGCGTGGGACGTTGGAAAACGCGTATAGAGCACAGATCTGAGGGAGAAAATGGTTTGGGAAGCTACGGAGGAGAATTTCGGAGCTGCACTTATGAGCTCAAAGTGTTTGGATAAGTGTATTTAAAGAAAAGAGGCTAAAAGGACAAAATTGCCCCCAGATTTGGCAAAGTGGCCGGCCGGCCACTTTTTCTGGCAGGCCGGCCATTTACTTTTCAAGAAATGGTCGGTGGCCTCCCTCTCCCCATAAAACTGGCCGATAGTGTTCCCCACGTGCCCCCCAAGGTCCTTGCAAATTTTGAGGAGGATTGGAGTCACCGGGACCTGAAAAAGTACAAGAGAAGTGTACTTCCTGTCGCGAAACCGCTCCGCCGGGACCTCAGCTTCAACTTCCGATGTGTGTCTCATCATTACTCATCAGAAGTGAGACGTATCCTTTTTGAACATGTTGTAACCTCTCTGGGAGGTGAACCAGAGGCCGCGATCGAGTCGCCCTCGCCGAAATGCGCATTTCCTTGCTCATTGTTTTGTGACGAACATGCATCCTGGTTTACGCTTGTTCTGCATTATCATGCGCATGACTTGCATTGTTATGCACGCCACTTTGACATCACCGAGCCTCCGTGCTTGAACCCGCATTGTCATGCGAGTTTCTTCCCGCATTGCGATGCACTTTTCCATCGACACAACGATTGTCTGCGCTCGATAACACATTGAACATATGTCGTTAGATATGTTGTACTTGTTGAGTTTCTTCCTTTTGCAGGCACGATATTGTATGTACGGTTCATTTGAGGCTGGTGCGACCAGACAAATCGCGCAGGTATCGTATCTTCTTCGTGTGAGACGCGACGAGAATTGAATAATTCTCCGCATTCTTCACTGCATGAAATGTAGTTGCTTTGCATTCTTGCTTAAAACTGTTGCATCTATTTGCGAATACTTGCCTCATTACAGCTTGCTGCATTTGCATGATCATTGAGTTACCTTCGGCTTCTTACATTTTCGGTTGCATTTTGCCCCTGCCTGCGGGCATGCCTGCGGGCACATCTGTGTTATTTCGTATGTTTGTCTAAGTCTTCGGCGTTGTCAAAAATGGGTCGTCTTTGGGCTTTGACACTTACTCCCGTCACTTATGACTTTCGAGTTCTGTCAAAGAGGGGCAACTGTAGACACTCCATTTTTGACCGACCTTGAGACTCAGACGTCACCAGTTGAGCACTCGGTGATATTGCATATTGTGCTCATTCAGAAGTTTCTAAGTCTCGGCTGCGAGCCTTGCCTTCGGACTTCCGGACTCTTTTGTGCTTTGCCTCGATTTGCGAACCAGGCTCTGTTTTCTCTATTTTCTCTTCCCGAAGGGAGGGAGAGGTCACGTAGATCATCTCTCAGTGGCCGTAGGCTACGTTTTGTGGTCGTAGGCCATTTTACCCGTTTGGAGCCCGGTTTCTGATTTTTCGGAGCCGTTGGCCGTATGCCTCGGTTCGGGACCGCTTAACCATCTCCGTTTGCTCCGGTTTCTGGCATACATCTTATTTGCTCCCTTTTGAGGGACACTGTGGTCCGGGAGACCAACTTCTTGGTCGAACACCACTCCCGGTGCCTAACAGTCAGTTTTCGGGGCCCCAGACTGCGCGTTTCGGCCCCCGAACCTTCATTTTGCGTCGGTTTTGGTTCATTTTTGGCAGGGACCTCTGTTTCATTGCTAGGAAGGTCATAGAAGGATGGGAGGCCAGTAATTGTTCTGTCAGCCAACTTTATCCCTTCATCGCCCTCCGTCGCCCGATTTCTCCCACTTCAAAGCCAATGTTGACCACCCTTGGGCCATTTTCTTGCACCCTAAACCCCATATTTGTGATGTACACATCTGGGAGGCCACCAATATTTGGTGGCCGGCCAGTAATTGCTTTTGAACCTTTTGAACCCCTTTGAAAAGTGGGTTTTTCTCTCTCCTGGTACACTTTCTCCAGTTTTTGACCACAGGGTTGTGTTGTGCACACATGGGAGGCCCTCTTTCTGTAGTGGCCGGCCACTAATCATACTTGACCCTTTTGACCCTTGGCCGGCCAGCCATGGGGAAAGCCGGCCGGCCACCTGCAACCTCAATAACTGGCCGACCATGCTCCTTGCTGAAGGCACATTCCAAATATGCATCTCTTTTCCCCCCAGATTGTGTATCCGGGGGGATGCATTTTTGGAGGGAAACTTGGTTTGTTTTCCCTCCATTGTTGGAAGCTGGGGCCATAGAGGAGGTGCAATACCTTCAGTGGATATCCAACACGGTGGTTGTTCCGAAGAAGAACAGCAAGTGGTAAGTCTGCGTTGACTACAAGACTGTCAACTGAGGTTACCCCAAGGACAACTTTCCTCTCCCACAAATTGACTAGCTGGTGGACTTAACTGCTGGCCATCAGAGGTTTAGCTTCCTAGACGCATATCGCGGCTACCACCAGATAGCCATGTATAAACCGGACAGAGAGATCACGTCGTTCACAACCCCCAGAGGCTTATATTGCTACAAAGTCATGCCGTTCGGACTAAAGAATGCTGAGGCAACCTTTCAGCGGATGGTAACAAAAATGTTCGCTCCTCTCTTGGGCCAAACAATGGAGGCCTATATCGACGATATGGTGGTGAAGAGTAAGGAGAAGTCTCAACACCTCTCCGACCTTGCAGAGATGTTCGCCATACTTAAGCTCCACAAGCTTCGTTTGAACGCCACCATGTGCGCCTTCGGAGTTGGCACCGAAAAGTTTTTGGGTTTCTTGGTCACAAACCGAGGAATTGAAGCTGACCCATCGCAAATCAAGGCAATACAAGAGCTGGAGCGCCCAAACTCCACAAAGGACGTGCAACATCTTGCCGGGATGGCAGCCGCGCTGAACAGATTTATCAGCCGGTCTTCGGATCGTTGCAGGCCCTTCTTCAAGACCTTGAAGGCTAAGTTCTTCTGGGATGACGAGTGCGACCGCGCACTAGCAGACCTAAAAGCATATCTCTCCTCAGGCCCTATTTTGGTCACACCTCAGCCGGGCGAAGAGTTGTACCTCTACTTGGCTGTCTCTCAACATGCGGTCAGCGTGGTACTGGTCCGTGCTGAAGGCATCCAGCACCTACCGATCTTCTATGTAAGCAAGACTCTGCTCCCAGCCGAAACGAGATATCTTCCCTTGGAAAAATTGGCGCTGGCCCTAATGATGGCATCAAGAAAGCTGGCACACTATTTCCATGCCCATACAATAGTTGTGTTAACCGAGTTCCCGCTCAAGGTGCTTTTTTAAAAGGCAGACTTCACTAGGAGAATTTTGAAATGGGCCGTAGAATTAGGACAATATGACGTCAAGTTCCGACTGCGCACCGCGATCAAGGCTCAAGCACTTGCTGACTTTGTGGCGGAATTTGCCCCTGGGATGCATCCGGTCTGCCCAATTGATTTGGTTGGCGCGGATTTAGCACAACCCATGGTTCTGGCAACAAAAACAAGTGTTTGTGCGCAAGAGGAGAAAGGGCAAAGAGCGACCGAACCAGCGAAGATGAACGACTTGATGAAGGAGGAAGTCAACCATGACGAGGAAAGAGACCAGAATGAGCCAACCAGAGACTTGAAATTGAGAAGCTCCCAGAACCCCTCTAATTGCTGGAAGCTGTTTATTGGCAAGATGTGGAAACTCTTCGTTGATGGGGCATCCAACAGACATGGGGCCGGGCTGGGCATCGTGCTGAACTCGCTGGACGGGCTGATCATCGAGCAGGCAATTACACTCGGCTTCCCAGCATCTAACAACGAGGCTGAGTATGAAACTCTCATTGCCGGACTAAGAAGCGCGCTGAGAA